CTTACCTACGTACACGTATCACCTGAAGGGTCTAATATTTCAATTTATATACCCTTTAGGGACTTATAATGTTAAACATTTTATTTTTTAAACGTTGCCCTGATCACCAGAGATTTACATTCACCACCAACTCGTGGAGGTGTCATGGTATAGTGGTTCACTCACTTGATTATTAGTCCTCGGGTTATGGGTTCAAATCCCAGTCTAGTCCAGAATATGACCAGTTAAATTCTTAACACTGTGATATACCACGACATTCACTTCGTTTGGGGTTTCACTTCTTTTATGAGAGCACCAACTATAGGGAGAGAATTCTCAGAATTGGTTTGGACGGGGGTGTGCTGCTCAAACCTCGAAACCCATACCCATTATTAGGGGTCATTTTTCTTGCAAAAAATACCAATTTTCAAAAAATGTTGGTGTTTGCATGGCAAACACCCGAAAATGTTTGCACATTTGAAAAAAATGACCCATTTTTAATGTTTTTTTGTTAAAAGTGGGACCCATGTTTAGGGATTTTTTAATGAAAAAGTGACCCATTAGAGCGGCACACCCCATATGTCCTAAGATGTGAGTACCCCCCCCCCCCCCGGGTACATATTTTTCAAACTCTACAAAAATAAAAGCCACAAAGTAGCCATATTAAAAAAACACAATCACGCACTGGACAGAAATGTAAAATATACACGTCTTTTTCTCTAGATGTATCAATCTCCATCACCTACTTTCACGTCTACAACACACACACACACAACCCTCTATCAGATACATATTATATACTTGTACAGTCAAACCTGTCTTTTAAAGCCCCTCTGCACTACTTTGGCCAGGAGGGATTAGACCTCCCTGCATGGTCACCGACAGGTGGTTATCTCATCAAATCAGCTCTTGATTAACCTAAGAAAAAGTGGATCATGGGGGACCAATGGTCACCAATTAGGCATTGTCTGCTATATAGAGGGCGCAAGTAGTAGTACAAGTAGTGCAGTCAAACCTGTCTATAAAGGCCACCCAAGGGACAATCAAAGAGTAGCCATGGTAGACAGGTGGCCTTTCTAGACAGGTTCTATGACGCAGATTTCTTCATTGGGGGAGACAAAATACATGGCCGGTATAGACAGGTTTTATGACACCCATTTCTTCCTTGGGGGAGACAAAATATACGGCCAGTATAGACAGGTTTTATGACGCCCATTTCTTCCTTGGGGGAGACAAAATACATGGCCAGTATAGACAGGTTTTATGACGCCCATTTCTTCCTTGGGGGAGACAAAGTCCACGGCCAGTATAGACAGGTTTTATGACGTCCATTTCTTCCTTGGGGGAGACAAAATACACGGCCAGTATAGACAGGTTTTATGACGCCCATTTCTTCCTTGAGGGATACAAAATACACGGCCAGTATAGACAGGTTTTATGACGTCCATTTCTCCTTGGGGGAGACAAAATACACGGCCAGTATAGACAGGTTTTATGACGCCCATTTCTTCCTTGAGGGATACAAAATACACGGCCAGTATAGACAGGTTTTATGACGCCCATTTCTTCCTTGAGGGATACAAAATACATGGCCAGTATAGACAGGTTTTATGACGCCCATTTCTTCCTTGGGGGAGACAAAATACATGGCCAGTATAGACAGGTTTTATGACGCCCATTTCTTCCTTGGGGGATACAAAATACACGGCCAGTATAGACAGGTTTTATGACGCCCATTTCTTCCTTGAGGGATACAAAATACACGGCCAGTATAGACAGGTTTTATGACGCCCATTTCTTCCTTGAGGGATACAAAATACACGGCCAGTATAGACAGGTTTTATGACGCCCATTTCTTCCTTGAGGGATACAAAATACACGGCCAGTATAGACAGGTTTTATGACGCCCATTTCTTCCTTGAGGGATACAAAATACACGGCCAGTATAGACAGGTTTTATGACGCCCATTTCTTCCTTGGGGGAGACAAAATACATGGCCGGTATAGACAGGTTTTATGATGCACATTTCTTTCTTGGGGAGACAAAATACAGGGCTAGTATAGACAGGTGGCCCTTCTAGACAGGTTCTATGACGCACTTATCTTTCTTGGGGAGACAAAATACAGGGCTAGTATATACAGGTGGCCCTTCTAGACAGGTTCTATGACGCAGATTTCTTTGAGGGAGACAAAATACATGACCAGTATAGACAGGTGGCCACTAAGACAGGTTTGACTGCAATAGAAAGACAAGTTCATGCTAATCTAGTATCAGACACATGCATACTACATCCTATACATTGCGGAATATATGTAAAATAGATCTCCATTTAAGGAATACACACAAAACCATCCAAGTATTCAATTTCAAATTCATCTCTTTATTGACATAAAAATATGACTTCAATATTTTTCAATTGGAAACATATGATAAATAAACTAATGCGTAAGTACAAACATTCTCTTCATTATATCCAGCAAAAACAAGTAATCATATCCATGTAAGAATAAAGGGGTATACCGTAGTACAGGCGCGTACGCAGGATTTTATCGTAGGGGAGGTTTTAAAATTTTAAATCGCGCCGAAAATTTCGCAACGACTCAGCCAGCCGTTGAATAAGCCGGGGGGGGGGGGGGGGGGGGGGAGGGGTAAGAGCACATCTTTTTCTTTTTTTTAATCCCAAAATTTTTGGCCGATCGATATTTCGTTCTGTTGGGGGGGGGGAGGGGGGACACCTGTTTTGGGTCACCCATTAGCACAATTTTTAAAAACTTTTTTATTTATTTATTTATTGTTTGAAGGGGGAGGGGGGTTCAACTCCCGACCCCCTGCGTACGCGCCTGCCGTAGTAAGGCGACCACTGGTAGATGGAGTTAAAACATAAAAATTTAGATTTTTTAACCTGAACTATCCATGGATCCAAATTTCAATGTAATAGAGCATGGCGATTGCAGAGCTGCCAACCTCCAGAACAGAAAATCAGTAATCACAAGGCTCAAAATCCGTAATTTGGGGAATAAATCAGTAATTCCCTACGCGGCACTATAAATCTTTATTAAACGATGATTTTACTCACACAAAGTTGCTAAATATTGATTTTCAGGTCATCACAACACATCAGTTTTCCATAAAAAATTGGCTTCTATTAAGAGAATACTTGATACTTTTTCGCCTTTTTCATTGAGTGTTGGACTGCCGCCATACTGCACAGCACTCACTACGATAAATCATATTTAAAATTGTTTTTTTTTGTTTTGAAATCCGTAATTTAGACAACATTCCTTATACTGTTTTCACACTGGCAATATTTTGCTTAACCCCGTACTATAGGTGGGGTTAAGGGGGGGTCTTAGCCCCACCTATAGTACGGGGTTAAGCCTATTCCACTTTCTGTTCAGACTGGTTTTTACCAAAGTGGGCTAAAGTTGGCTAACCCCACCTATAGTACGGGGTTAAGCCTATTCCACTTTCTGTTCAGACTGGTTTTTACCAAAGTGGGCTAAAGTTGGCTAACCCCACCTATAGTACGGGGTTAAGCCTATTCCACTTTCTGTTCAGACTGGTTTTTACCAAAGTGGGCTAAAGTTGGCTAACCCCACCTATAGTACGGGGTTAACTAACCCTGCAAAATAGCAGGGCTAACTCCGCAATTGTGGTGCTAACTCCTGCTAACCCCGCAATTGCGGTGCTAAGCAAATGAATGAGAACAGAAACGAAAAATAGTCCGGTACTACGCAATGGAGCGTATCACAACTGGCCAAATGCGAAGTATGTCCAATAATAACATTCACGATATCCGGGGTTAACGAAATGCAGTGAGAACAGCTGGAATTTTCTTATTCCGGAATAGGCGCTAGTACGGGACTAAAAACAGCGAGTGTGAAAAGCCAAAAAAAATAGTCCGGGGTTAAGGATAGTACGGGGCTAAGCAAAGTACGGGGTTAAGCAAAACCAGTGTGAAAAGAGTATTAGTTACTGCTGTAATGATCATTAATTTCCATACCAATTACGGGAAATCCGTACTAGTTGGCAGCTCTGCCAGGGATTTGACATACCCTATTCGCCGGTGTAAAGGCCGCAGTATTTTTGGAAGAGAAAATATCAACAACAAAAAAGTCAAAACCAACACGAATTTGCACATATGGGACTAGAAACGGTAAAAAAACAATACCACTATGGTACAGGACATTTCCAAACATCTTACCGACAATTTTATCTTGAATTGTTGACATGAAGACCAAAATAAATGTCCTAACACAACATTTGCTGATAGATCTTGATCTAAGTTCGTGCTAATGCATTGCAAAGGTGAAGGAAGGGACAGTATAACGGAGCTGCCAAGACCATCCATCCAAGGTTGCCATTTTGATTTTCCATTTCATGCAGTTTCGCATTACACCGTACATTGTGGTAGGGGTATATTGGACACCAAATCTGCCTGCGATCACTTTTTTAGCTAAACTTCGGTAAATTATAAGAATATGGATGAATTTGGTATCAGTTTGTAAAAAAAAAATAGTGTTTTCGAGAAAATTATGATTATTTTGTTTTGTCCGTTTGTTTTTTTTTCCTTTTTTTTTGTTTTCCTTTTTTTTTTCCCTCTTTGAAATGTCAGAGTTGGGGGTGCGGCCTATGCGGCGGTGCGGCCTTATCGCCGGCAAATACGGTACATGGAATGACCTTTCTACCAGTAAACTCGAACAGCTGAGGATCTCTCTTTATACTTCCTATTTTCACTGAGTGATTGATTTGCTACACAGAGGCTTGTTGAGCTTGACTTTGCTCCTTCACAGCAGATGCCATCTTTCTTCCACTTTGTCTTCTTCTTTCCATCTGTCTTTCCGTAGCGTAACATCAGACAATACCGAAGTACCCTTCTTTTCATTGGTGTGAAGAGTGATTATGTCGCTAGGTGAATGCTTGGTGACCTTGAATTTGCTCCTTCACAAAAGACGCCATCTCCACTCTCTTCCACCGCCTTTTCTTCTTTCCTTCTTTCGTCTTGAATCAGACATCCTTCTGTACTCTCTCTTTTTCACTGAGAGTGAGCATGTCATGACACAGAGTCTTGCTGGGCTTCACTTTGCCCATTCACATGCGATGATATCTTCACCCTCTTCCTCTTTCTCCTCTTTTTCTTTCCTTCTGTCTCTTTTGTCACAGCTGATGACTGCTCAGTACTCTTCTTCTTCTTCTTCTTCTTCACCGAGAGTGGGTTCGGCTGCTTGGGTCCTCTCCGCTTCTTTCTCTTCTTCTTTTCATCATCCTTCCCACCCTCCCCTTCGAGTTTTTCAAAGCGCTCTTCTCGAACTCTGAAGGATTGATTTTCTTTGACGTCATTGAGGAGGCAGCTGCAGTAGAGGTCACCGAGGGTTTCTCTAGGACTATTGCGCTGAAATGGAGGTACAGAAGTGGAGCTCCTGGGGTTCCGTTGACTGATGCACTCAGGTCGGGATCCTGTACATAAAAGAAAGAAAAAAAAAATAGAGCAAAGTTTGTCAAAGATTCAATTTATACCTGCAAAGACATGTTTCTCCAGGTATCATTGATTCGTGAGTCAGTTGCTCAGTACAAAAAAGATTATGCTTATGCATGAATGAAAATTTCAAGATAAAAGTTTTATTTGAAAATAAATCATTTTAATGAATTGAATGAATGAATGAATCCCTATATCAGCACACACATGCACTTATACATCTGCAAGAATCTTCAGCAGTGAAGGAGGCAGATCATCTTGAAGAAAAACCAAACAAGTTTGGAAATGGCAAAGAGGTATTTCCTCATTTTGCAAACAATTACAAACCAGGAAGATACATGTATTTAAATAATCGATGTTTTCTAGTTTTTTCACAAACAATTTTGAAATTAAATTTTCGGTTGTAACAAAAAATCTCAAACCATCTTCATCTTAACAAGCTACCCGTATTATGAAAATCAGAAACAATTCAATTTTTTTTTTTAAAGAGGGGGGGGGGGGGGGGGGGGATGCATAAAGAATTCAGCTACTACAAAATAGGGTACTGTAAGTTATACAATGCAATATCACTGAATTTATTTAACAAAAATACTGACCTGTGTAGCAACAAAGTAGTGGTTCTTGTTCGAGTCTGCCAACATGCTCATCACACACTTATGGGCGGAGACTGGACTGTCCTTGTGGCCGCATCTTCTCACCTGGTACCTCTTGAGGATGATGTAAGCTCCGTACACCGCCTTGCCTAAGGATTCAGCCTCCTTCAGGATGCAGTTTGTTGTTATTAACTAAATGGATTAAAGGTAATACAAAGTTTTGGTATGGGGTCATGAATTTGGTTCAAATGAACATATTGAAAGCATATGGGATCCTACAATTTTCAGTGACTGTTGTCGCGGTTGAAATCGAGTCAATGTAGCCTAAATAAGAAACTCTTTATGTTGTATAGCTCCCTCTCAAGGTCAAGATATTAATTAAGCTATAAAACAATGTTTCTTAACTAAAATTGACCGATTAGATATTCCCGTTTATATATCACAACTACATCTTATGAGATTTTCACGGTCGCAGCTACAATTGTACGGCCGTTAGCGCTATTTGAAATTTATCAAAACTCACCAGGAGCACCTGTAAATTTTTATATTCAATTTTTCTCGAAAGCAGAAGTGTTTTAGGGGCTAAATTTTTTTAGTGCTTATAATACATCCACAGGCCAGGGGCATCCAAATATATCAAAAGTGTAAAGAATCACTATCCACCCAATTTTCAAAATTTCCCAAAACGTTGTAATACCTTTATGTTAATGAAAGTAGATTTAGAGTTTGAATATTTAGCACTTCAGGATTGAACACTACAATTAATAAAGGTAGAATTATATATATACTGCATTATAATGAACAATGTATGTATCTGTGCTTGATAATAGAGGCCTTTAGAGGAACAATCAAGTTACAGAGTTTTCACACACAGATGTAGGTAACTCCTGATTTGTAGCAAGAACAAAATGTATGACAAGATAGAGAATGAAACAACAAAGAGAAACAAGATATGACTACATGAAAGAATGATGAGAGCAAGTTATGAAAGAAGAATGCGCGAGAGAGAGAGAGAGAGAGAAGGGAGACAGAAACTGAGGCTGAGGTCAAATGATAAACACATACAAATGCTTTATATTTTATGTAAATTTTGAAGGACATTACGATTCTATGAAAATCTTTTAACCCTTACTGTACTGGGGGGGGCCTGGGAGGCCCCCCCCTCGACATTTTCGGAGATTGCGCCGCAACCGCTTGGAATTTTGAATTGTCGTTTCATGACTTTTTTCCCTGAAGTCTTACGCACATTTTGATATCATTTTCGTCTAAATCGGATATACCTGTAAGGCGTTACATAACAATTAATATGCGCATGTCATCAAAAAAAAAAAAAAAAAAATGAAAATCGCATCAAAATTTGCATAAATTATCATTATTAATTACATTAAAATAACTTTTTTGTGTTAGAAAAGAAGTTTCATATGAATAATGAGTTTCAACATTCAAAAAGTGGAGTTTGACACGTTTTCGGTAAAATGCATAAAATTAGCGTATTTTGATTTGATTTGATTTGATTTGATTTGATTTTATTTATTCATCATCAATAACATCAGTGATTAAACATTTGAATACATCGTGAATGGTACATGTTCATAAATGAATATTATAGATCATATTAAAGAAAAACCTAACAAAGTATTGATATGCTAGACATATGTCTTTTCTCATAGAATATAGAAGGTGATGAAAAGGAGCCAAATAATAGCACATGTGCTAGTCGAGTCTGGCCCCTGTTCTTAGCACACACTTGGCAAAAATAAATATATCATTATCAAAAAATAAAACTTGACAGTAGAAGTATACATGTTGAGTAATACCGTAGCACAATTTCTACACTCCAAATATAATTATGAAGAGGATATACCAGGTTAAAAAGTCATAGATACATGTATCTACAGATTATTTATACAAAAAATTGCATTTTTTTGACAAAAAAAAACAACAAAAATGTAATATGGAGATTATTTACAATATATACATGTGTACTTGCATAATTCAATCACTTATTCATCAAGTAATCGTTGAGATGTTTACGAAAAGTGTTTCTAGACCCTTTGTTTTTGATTTCATCGGGAAGTTCATTCCATAATCGGGTTCCTACACAAGTTACTGAAAATTTGCCTTGTGTTGTTTTATACAGTGGTATACGTAGATGGCCCTTTTCTCTTTTTCTTGTATTGTATCTATGCTCAATTTTATCACAATAATCCGTCAAACAGTGAGGTAAATTATTATGTACTAGGTCATACATAAATGTACATAGAGACAACTCATAGAACTTGTTAATATCTAAGATTTTCAATTCGTAAAACAATGGTGCTGAACGACTCATAAAATGGCTAAATGTGATTGTCCGTATGGCCATCTTTTGTGTATACAGTATGCAATTTAAGTGAGACTTGTAAGTGCTCCCCCACACTTCAATTCCGTATGATGTTGAATAAAGGTTTTATACAACAACACTAGGATATTTCTAGGCACAAAATTCCGTAAGCGGAAGAGGATTCCTACTTTTTGTCTGATGCATTTATTAACCATTTGTATGTGGGGTTTCCAAGTCAAGTGTTTATCAATCTTTATCCCAACAAAGAGCGAAGAATCAACTTCTATTATTTCAGCTTCTGATATAGCCAGTTGCCCTTGAACATTAATCTGCCGTCTCTGGTTTCTTATTAGCATATAACTCGTCTTTTGTAAATTAATTGTCAGTTTATTAGCATTACACCAGTCTGAAACAATTTGAAGATTTGTGTTCACTTCAGTCATATCAATTTCTTTTTGCCCTTCAGGAAATGTATGGAATAAGTTTGAGTCATCCGCAAAGAGTCGAAAGTTAAAGTAACGTGTAGCAAATGGCATATCATTAATATAAAGTAGGAAAAGCGTTGGGCCTAGGACAGAGCCTTGCGGTACACCACATGTTAAAGGCAGCATGGGAGATGTTACATTTCCGTACTGTACAAATTGAAATCTTCTATAAAAATAGTCCTTAAACCACTGTAATGCTATTCCTCGTATTCCATAGTGTGAAAGTTTGCTGTATAAAATATCATGATTAATTGTATCAAATGCTTTCTTAAAGTCTACAAATATCCCAAGTGTGATTCTTCCCTCATCCATTGAATTCCTCAAAGTGTTAACTAAATTTATCATTGACAATTTTGTACTGTATTTTTTACGGAAGCCATACTGGTGCTCATATAATACATGATTTTTTTCAAGAAAGTCAAGAAGCCTATTATTTACAATTTTTTCAAAAACCTTCCCAAGAACAGGTAATACTGAAATAGGTCTATAATTTCCTGCTTCATCTTTAGGTCCTTTCTTATAAACAGGTGTCACTTTTGCTATTTTAAAGGCATCTGGGAATTTACCAGAGGTGAAAGACAGATTGAAAATAAATGTAAGGGGAGAAGTTACATAGTGCACAGCATCTTTTATCAGCTTGATTGGCATATTATCATACCCACTAGCTTTCTTTACATTCAAGGCTATTAAATGGTTGCTAACCTCAGTCTCAGTAACTGGTTTCCAGAAGAAAGATTTGTCTACACCATCGTCTAAAACTTTCTCTGTATTACGATTTGTGTTTGGTATGGCATTCGCCAAATTTGGACCAACATTAACAAAGAAGTCATTAAATGCATTTGCAATATCTTGTTCATTACACAGGGTTTCATTAGTACCAGTATCATTCACACACAATTTATCCACCACTGTTGGCTTAAACGAATTGTTTCCACCACTTAAAATCTCGTTTACAGTCTTCCATGTTTTGCTAGTATCACCCTTATTTTCAAGGAATATCCTACTATAGTAATTTCTCTTTGAGTTTCTGATTATTGTAGTTAACATATTCCTGTACTTCTTGTATGTTGTTAAATAGACAGGATTGTGGTTGGTGGCAAGAACCTGTGAATACATTGTATGTTTCTTTTTTATGGAATTCATTATAGCTTTTGTAATCCAAGGTTTCTTAGGTTCGTTCTTTCTCCTTTTACCGTGTTGAGCTACAACTGGTGCATGCTCATCACACACTTTTGTCATGATTTCACAAAAACGGGAGTATGCGAGATCAGCATCATCCGCTGCATAAACTGATTCCCATGTTATATTGGCAAGCTCAGCATGGAATTTTGTAACATCATAGTTCTTGTAAGAACGAGACATTAATTTTCCTCGGCAAGACTTTTTCTTAAATTGTATATTAGACTTAAAAATGGTAAAGATCGGAAAGTGGTCTGTAACGTCAGATTCAATTATTCCTGCATGAATACTGGGAACATTCATATTGGTATATATATGATCAATCAAAGAGAAGCCATGTTGCGTTACTCTAGTAGGAAAATTAATCAATTGATGCATGCCGATACATTGCATGGAGGTGAGAAAGTTATCAGCTGCCATTTCATCGCCTAGAAGATTGATATTGAAGTCTCCAGTTAGCACACATTGACTTTTGTCTAATTTCAGATCATGTACAATACTTAACAGACTATCCTGAAACTCATGAATATCTGTATTTGGCTTGCGATAGATGACACCAATAATGATCTTCTTTTCATTAATTACTACTTCCAACCAAAGTGATTCAGCATGTGCTACTTCAAAATTTCCCAAAAGCCTGTATTTAAGGGAAGAGTGAATGTATGCACCAACACCTCCACCTCTTAAAGTATGATTGCGGCATTTCACCTCTAAAGTATAGCCTTGTATGCCCAAGATGGATGTGTCTGGTACGCTCCACACTTCAGATAAACATATTATATCAAATTTGATTTGATACTACATTCGTATAACAGTTTTAGGTTTTCTATATTTCTATTCAAAGATCTGATATTGACATGTGTAAGAGAAAATGCATTTTCAGTTTTGGTTTGCAGAACATCATCAAAATTAACAGGAGTTAATTTGTGTGAACTAAGACACAGATTGAGTTCATTGTCCTCCATTTTAAAGTCATTTTTCTATTAATGACTTAAAATTACTCAGATAAAAAGAAAATCAAGCAATGACAAATAGCTTGAAGCGAGCGTAATCCATATCATCAAGTCCAAGATCAAAAAGGTCATTTTGCATAATTAATTAGGCTAACGACAAAAATTTGCATATTCGGAAAAAACTAATTATACCATCTTGTTCCTTACGTAAATATCTACAAACATGCAAATTTTCGTGTTCATCGGACCATCGACGGCCGAGATCATAGGGGGGGGGGGGGGGGCCTCCCAGGCCCCCCCCCCCAGTCAGTGGGTGCTCAAAATAGCCCAGTACAGTAAGGGTTAAAAGAGCCAAAAAATGTCAGATTCTAACTTAAAGCTTGTCTGCACTAGTTTGGCCAGGGGGATTAGACCTCCCTGCAAGGTCACTGACAGGTGTTTATCTCATCAAATCAGCTCTAAATTAACATAAGAAAAAGAGGATCATGGGGGACCAATGGTCACCGATTAGGCATTGTTTGCTATATAGAGGGAGCGAGTAGCTACAAGTAGGATAGTCTGGCTTAAGACAAAATTGGTCTTACCTGCACTTCACCTCCTAAATATTTAGGCAGCTGTTCCTTGATGTTAATCTTGTTTTTGAGAGCCATGTGCGTGAAGGTTCCATCTATGAGGACCTGGTGAGGCTCTCGGAAGTTGAAGTTGTGCTTGTAGAAGCCCAGGTACTTGCGGGCGTGTTTGTACCTCTTCACCTTCATGGCGAGTGCCTTGTACGCCCGATAACGATTCCTTATAGATCAGTTCAGCTCAAGTCAAAGATGAATCTTGGCACCTGCATTCAAATAAAAAACAAAATACTATTATATTTGACTATCAATATTGAGTAGAGAAGAAAAGAGAATGAAACTATTACCATGAAACCATTTTGTGTAACCGATCGACTCACTCAGCTTTACAATTTCAGCGATTTAACATGAATATTAAATGTAAATCTAAATGGCATCACAACTAGATCTTTAGATTGACACGACTGATGTTTTTTTCAGATTGGACAGGCTTTAAATGGCAAAATGCCGCATTTTAGGTACAATAACAGGCTACAGTATAAACTCGCTGCGGCAACTCCCTGCTTAGACGGTCACCAGGCCAGGGGCGGTGTGATGTGCCCGGAGTTTCAGGCGACCAGCAACTGCGTCGTCCGTTGAACTGATGAAAGACGCGAGCGTTGCGTTTCATTCAACAAATTAAGACTGACAAGCGATTTTAATATCATAATTATGGGCATCACTGAGACATCACATTCATTTTCAAACTCTTCTAATAATTTTTACTTACGCGAATATTCTGTGACGCGGTAGGATCCAAATTTAGCTTACTTGATTCTCGCTGGCCTTTGCAGACATGTGCTTGTGTGACGTCTCGCCTTATGAATATTTATATTCTTTTAAAACAACATGGCGGCGCACATGTGCCTTCAAGTCTTTGCTGGCTGCTACGAAAGGACCACTTTCGGATACGATTTATTGGAAAATGAATCGGAGGTATGACATTTAACACATGTATACACAGTGATTACTATTGATTCATTAAAATTTGCTGGTAGAACTGCACTGCTGAGCTAGCTTGATCTTGAGTGGCGCGTGCATGATAACTTACTCGACAGAGCTTTGCTGCCGCCGCCGCACCGGGTGCAGGTGCGTCGGAGCTCCACGGCGCTGCGCACTGATATTAAATTGCCTAGATCTAGACAGAAATAACCATTTTTTATGGGGAATACTTTATAAAAACTGACATTTGTCAACCTTTTCTATGGCCATACACAGACTGTAATCCTTGACCATGGCACAACAAGGCCAAGGGGGGAAACCGGAAGGGGGTTTAAAAACTAGTAAAAAGCAATTGTCGCAGGAATCTGGCGAAAATTTTGCCCTCGCCTCACGTCGGAAGCTATAGATCTACAGGTATTCGTAAAAATAATGGCAATCAAACACAAAAGACATTGTTTGTGTATGCGATAAGGGGAGCCAGATCGATGTACAGTAGATCGATGATCGATGATCACAAAACCAAATTCAGAACCATGATGATTTGTGAAATTAATTAACTTTTTTCTCCATCAATTTGCTGTTTGTAATGTTAAAACCTCTTGAGAATACATTCTGACTTTTCTGTAACATATAACTTTGATGTTTGTCTGATGTTTGTCGGATAAAGGAGTGAAACTTCAATCATTTTACTGTCTCCAGCGATTTGGTTCAAGATGGATAAAAAATGAAAGTGTGAATTTTCTCTGTAGGCCCTATGCCCACATTAAAATGAAAGCTAAAGATGTATATCTTTCTATAATAAGTAATGGCCTCCATGCCAGAACTTGAAGGAGAGACCTTACTCATAGGATATCATTAGTTGAGATATCTAGTCTAATGCTTCGAGGGTTCAGAGACACAAAGACGTAACTCCATATTTTGCCAAATGAGTTTTTGATATCAAAATGTTCAGAAAAATGTGGACTTTCCAGGAAACACAAAGACTTAACTCCACCAGCACCTTATTGAAGTCAATAAGCTAGTGAAACATAGACTTAACTCCTTAAGGCCCAAGTGCTCAGTGACGCATAAGCCAATTTTTCTCAAACTGGCCAAAATGGAGTTACGTCTTTGTGTCACTGACTCCTCAACTTACACTTATTATAATTTCAGGATGGTTGCCAGTATTCCTTCAAAGGGAGGTTTACAAACAATGCCCACACCGGCTGCATCAAGTCCCTGGCCGCAAGCAGTCGTCACTTAGCCTCGGGGAGCACCGATGAACTTGTCAATCTTTATGATCTGGAGAAGAATGTTGAGCTGGGATCTCTCCTGCAGCATGATGGTAGGTAGTCACAGCTTTCCTTCTTTTTATAAAGGAGGTTCAGGAAGGTTATAAATCAGGCCTGATAATTATCCGATTTGAATTGGTTTCCTGATTTTTTTTCCCCCGAGTTTTGTAATATTCTTTTTGTTTCTTCTTCCTGATTTACCCCTATTTTTCCCTCATTTTCCCTTATTTTCCCTATTTTTCTCAATTTCCTTACTCAAAAGGGGGGAATGTTGTCAGATGGCATTCCCCCCCCCCATTTTTTTTACTCAAGGGGGGGGGGGGGGGAGAGGGGTTAACGAAAAAACACCTATTAGTAATAGGTGTTTTATTACCCCTTAATACAAAAATAAGAAATCTTTTGGATATTTTATGGCAGTCATTGAATTTGAAACTATTTACCACTTGCAATATACAGCATGTGAATATCTTGGCACAATAAAGTGTTGTCAGTGGCATAGCTTGTGGAGACATGTGCAATTGTCACCCCCCCCCCCCCCTCAATCAAATTGGTTAAGAGGGAGGATGACGCTTTTATCCTTCTTATTTAACTATTAATAAAGTTTGACTTGTGGTGACCCCATAGGCAAACTTTCTCCAGTAAATTCTGTCCTGTGCAGCTTTATACAGCTATCTGTAGAATTTGTCTGTTTTTTGTTTTTTGTTTTTGGTCATACTTTCTAGCCATCTAATCTTTAAGGCATCCTCAATCATCTGTCTTCCTCTTTTTCTTTAATTTAATTTTTACAATTTATTGAAAAAATATTATCTTAGAAGTATGTTCATCTTGGTGTTATTTCCTTTAGGTTCTGTGACATCACTAAGTTACCATGACGATGGCCACATGGTCAGTGGTGGAGAAGATGGGGTCATTTGCATATGGGGCACCAAGAACTGGGAGTGTATGAAGATTCTCAAGGGCCACAAGTAAGTGATTGTGGCACAAATAAATGTGATATCCTTTTCACAGTCCAATTAATTAGTTTATTCAAATTATACTTTTCATGTTTTGATTGTTTGTTTGCTTCACCTGACTGCTCAGAAATGTGTATGCTTGTATCAAAGTAAGCAGCCAGGGGATATATGGCTTCAAGTCCTCTCCGAGGGACTTGGTAATGAGGATTAATGCCTTACTGAAGGGCACTAGTGTTGGACTTGGTTTCAAACCCGGGCCTCCTGGTTACGAGACCACTGCTCTACTACTGAGCAATTGTGCCTCGATCCTGATAGTTCATTTTGATGACCCAAATGCTGCCTGAGGTTGGACAGAAAGAGAGATGAAATCTTTCAAGGGCACTTATTGAACTAATGGCTATGTTATTTCATCATTATCACACGTTAGGGTTATCTTGTACGTCTGACAAGGGCATTTTAATGTTGATAAAGTTTTTGTGTCATACTGTGTAACCCCTCTGTCCTTACATCACCAATGTATATATTTTTTAGGGTTGATGTAGATTCAGTAGCAGTTCACACTTGTGGCAAAATGGGCTTCTGTATTTTCTTTCTTTCTCTTTTTCTTTTTCTTTCTTTCTCGCTTTCTTGAATGGTGTGTGAATGCTTTAGCAATAAACTTTATTTCTGATTGCCTCTTTATTCAAAATTGTACATATTTTGCAGAGATGCTGTTAACTCAGTAGCAGTACACCCTTCTGGTAAGATAGCCCTCTCCGTCAGCAAAGACAAGACGTTACGGACGTGGAACTTACTCAAAGGCAGAGCAGCTTACACAACCAATATTAAGAAAGGTGAGTTTCACTTTACATTAAAGGTAAAGACCAGTTATGGTCATGCGATTGCATTGTGAAAGAAACGTTGTGGAATCGATCAGAAAAGGTTGATCATCTAGCATCTAGCATCTGCAAGGTTCTGGAATCATCAAAATGATAAGAAATTTGGCCCATTCTTCGTAAAGTTACAAGCACTATACACAGAAAGATGTATATGGGACTACCCTATATCTCTCACAGACCACGAGAGAAACAAATTTACCAAATATATGAATTAGTAGGCGGTTTCTCGGCAAATTTTTTATCATCACGTATTAGTCAAAACATATTCTTTCACATGATTGGTAATGAGAGCTTCCCTTTCATTTTTTTAAAAATTGGGGCGTTTCCAATACTGGTCTTTACCTTTAACATAATGTACATGTTAGCCTGGGCAGCATTTCATGAAACCGTCATAAGTACAAGTTCACTGACATCCCATTGAAACACGTGTTAAACTTGATACATGTGTTTCAATGAGATGTAGGTGAACTTGTACTTATGACGGTTTCGTGAGATGCTGCCCAGGGTCTTGCCATAACATAAGACACTGCATGCTTCTGGCAAGCATCAACGCTTTACAAATCGAAATATGAAGAGTAAATTCATCTAACAAAAAGGGTATCAACAAGCGCAGTGGCGGATCCAGGGGGGGGGGGGAGGGCCTGGCCCCCGGGGAAAAAAAATGTGTAAAAACACGTTAATTTTACCTTTTTGGGGAGATGGGCCCCCCCCCCCCTGGTGCTCAAGGGGGGGGGGGGTACAAATTTTCAAATTTTCGAGAGCCAAAAAAAAAGAAAAAAGTGAGGTTTTAGGTTCAGTGCACTTCATTTTTCATCATTTCTGAATGTATATTTCAAGCGAAAATGCACATCGCCACTATTACCACAACTCTATAGTGATTCACTTTCAGACTTTGTGTGCGTTATTCTTTCAGTTTCAGACATCGTTCTATGGTCACCCGATGGTCAGCTCTATGCGGTCATCACTAACGACCTTGTGGAGATCTATGACATCACTACTGCTACCGTCTGCTGCTCGTACAAAAGCAATGTCAAGATACTCTCTGCATGTTTCCTAACAGTAAGTAGGCCATATTTATAAGATGAAACAAAAACTATAAATGTAAACCTCTGTAAAAGACTAGTCTCACGTAATGAGCAATGATACTAGAACCTAAGATACTTCCCAAATTGATCTCCTGGGCCCCGTCTTATAAAGAGTTAATATCAACAATCGCAACTTATATGCGATTGATATCAATCACAACTATGTACATAAGAGATAGGAGACTGCAAACTTGCGATTGATTGGAGAACTTACCATTGATTTGATTTGGATCAATCGTAACTCTTTTAATAAGACGGGCCCTGAAGTTTATGTTGAAAATGATATCAGATATTGGTGTTACAGTTCCTGTCTCACTGATTTATGTGAATGAGTCTTCAGCAAAGATTTTATGGGACCAGGGCAGTTGTTTCCAGACAGACTGATCCAATAAAACATATGAGCTTATCCCTTTACTTCTATAGCAGAGCTGCCAACCATTCCGTTTTTGCCGGAATTACTCCGTTTTTTCCACCAAATTATGGTATTACGTTTTTTCTCTATAAAATACTTTTTTTTTTTTTTTTTACATACCACACGTCGAACAACTGCCCTAAAATGGTGATTTGATCACAAATTCAATAGAAAACTAATTTTAAAACATACTTGAAGAGAAAAATATTCTTAAAAAGAATGAAATGCCGATAATACCAAAATAACCAAAACAAAAAAACCTGCTTGTATGGAAAAACAGCATGAAGAATGAACATTTCTGCATTAGGAGTGTGTCGCTCGTGATTGTAAGTTTCGTTTTTATGAATTCCTTTTTTATGCCTCCGCCACCGAAGGTGGTGCCGGAGGCATCATGTTTTCGGGTTGTCCGTCCGTACGTCCGTACGTCCGTCCCGTTTGACCGTTATCACAATATCTCAAGAACCATTTAAGATTTAAACTTAAGACTCGGGAATAGTATTTATCACCATAGGAAGACGATCTGATTAGATTTTGGAGTACGTAGGTCAAAGGTCACAGGTCACAGAGGTCAACTTATGAAATTCCTTGTATTGAGTTTGTTAGCGCGATATCTCAAGAACCATTTGAGATTTAAACTTCAAACTTAAGGATAGTATGTATCACCATAGGAAGACGATCTGATTAGATTTTGGAGCACGTATGTCAAAGGTCAAGGGTCACAGAGGTCAACTTATGAAATTCCATACATTGAGATTGTTATCATGATATCTCAAGAACCACTGGAGATTTAAACTTCAAACTTAGTGATAGTGTGTATCACTATAGGCAAACAATCTGATTACATTTTGGAGCACGTAGGTCAAAGGTCAAGGGTCATAGAGGTCAACTTATGAAATTCCATACATTGAGATTGTTATCATAATATCTCAAGAACCACTGGAGATGTAAAAACTTCAAACTTAAGGATAGTATGTATCACCATAGGAAAACAATCTGATTACATTTTGGAGCACGTAGGTCAAAGGTCAAGGGTCACAGAGGTCAACTTATGAAATTCCATACATTGAGATTGTTATCATAATATCTCAAGAACCACTGGAGATTTAAACTTCAAACTTAATGATAGTGTGTATCACCATAGGAAGACAATCTGATTAGATTTTGGAGCACGTAGGTCAAAGGTCAAGGGTCACAGAGGTCAACTTATGAAATTCCATACATTGAGATCGTTATCGCGATATCTCAAGAACCACTGGAGAATTTTCACTTCAAACTTAATGATAGTATGTATCACCATATCATAATATCTCAAGAGCCACTGGAGATTTAAACTTCAAACTTAATGATAGTGTGTATCACCATAGGAAGACAATCTGATTAGATTTTGGAGCACGTAGGTCAAAGGTCAAGGGTCACAGAGGTCAACTTATGAAATTCCATACATTGAGATTGTTATCATGATATCTCAAGAACCACTGGAGATTTAAACTCCAAACTTGTTTAAATTGCTCTATGGCGGAGGCATCATTTTCGACTGCGCGCAGTCAAAATTCCATCTAGTTTTGCTTGAAATTCCTGTTTTTTGCCATCATGATTCCTTTTTTTGGTCGCACAAGGTTGGCAGCTCTGCTATAGGTATAAGTGGAGGTGTTGTAGTAGTAGAGTGAGTGGTTCATTCGATTGACTTTCAAATGATGAGCACAGTATGAATGTATTGTGGCAAGACGCTAATCCACATTTTGCCAAGACGCTAATCCACGTTTTGCCACTCTCCACCCAGGTGTTAGGGGACCCAATGTGCTGGAACGCTGCGTATTTGACCTGGGATAATAGTAATAATGTAGGAGGGCCAGGGGTGTCACGGCATGACAGACATTAGTCATATACAAGAAGCTATTATAATTATCATTGCCTCATATTTTAAATAGAGAAGGTTGAGTTCTGGGAATAGGTGAAAAATAATTTGGGAGAATTATCATTGTTATTTTGCAAGTGTGAGAGAACATCAGATAAAAATGTTCCCTGAAAAGCATGGCTATTCAAATGCTTTCATATTCTAAATATGACATGTAACAACATAAAAATCAGGATGGACTTTTATGCAACATGTTTGTGTAGCCCCATATACATCTTACTGTGTACAGTGCTTGTAACTTTACCAAGACTGGGCCAAACTTCTTATCATTTTGATGATTCCAGAACCTTGCAGTACACATCAATACTTATGCTAGATGATCAACCTTTTCTGATTGATTCCACACCGTTTTTATGCCTCCGCCACCGAAGGTGGTGCCGGAGGCATCATGTTTTCGGGTTGTCCGTCCGTACGTCCGTCCGTACGTCCGTCCCGTTTGACCGTTATCACAATATCTCAAGAACCATTTAAGATTTAAACTTAAGACTCGGGAATAGTATTTATCACCATAGGAAGACGATCTGATTAGATTTTGGAGTACGTAGGTCAAAGGTCACAGGTCACAGAGGTCAACTTATGAAATTCCTTGTATTGAGTTTGTTAGCGCGATATCTCAAGAACCATTTGAGATTTAAACTTCAAACTTAAGGATAGTATGTATCACCATAGGAAGACGATCTGATTAGATTTTGGAGCACGTAGGTCAAAGTTCAAGGGTCACAGAGGTCAACTTATGAAATTCCATACATTGAGATTGTTATCATAATATCTCAAGAACCACTGGAGATTTAAACTTCAAACTTAATGATAGTGTGTATCACCATAGGAAGACAATCTGATTAGATTTTGGAGCACGTAGGTCAAAGGTCAAGGGTCACAGAGGTCAACTTATGAAATTCCATACATTGAGATCGTTATCGCGATATCTCAAGAACCACTGGAGAATTTTCACTTCAAACTTAATGATAGTATGTATCACCATATCATAATATCTCAAGAACCACTGGAGATTTAAACTTCAAACTTAATGATAGTGTGTATCACCATAGGAAGACAATCTGATTAGATTTTGGAGCACGTAGGTCAAAGGTCAAGGGTCACAGAGGTCAACTTATGAAATTCCATACATTGAGATTGTTATCATGATATCTCAAGAACCACTGGAGATTTAAACTCCAAACTTGTTTAAATTGCTCTATGGCGGAGGCATCATTTTCGACTGCGCGCAGTCGAAATTCCATCTAGTTTTTTAATAGGCTAGTTTCCCCACAATGAATGTACATACATGCCATTAGATGGATCCTGACCCCCATATCCCTTTGAAAGGGGGGGCGTAGGGGCAAATATTGTAAAAATTTGAATTATCACAACTTTCGTGCCGAAATGGTAAGGGCCGGGGTGGTTCAGCATTTTGGAGGAAAATATTATATTTTTTGAATAGGCTAGTTTCCCCACAATGAATGTACATACATGCCATTAGATGGATCCTGACCCCCATATCCCTTTGAAAGGGGCGAAGGAACAAATATTGTAAAAATTTGAATTATCACAATTTACGTGCCGAAATTAGAAGGGCCGGGGTGGTTCAGCATTTTGGAGGAAAATATATATTTTTTTTAATAGGCTAGTTTCCCCACAATGAATGTACATACATGCCATTAGATGGATCCTGACCCCCATATCCCTTTGAAAGGGGCGTAGGGGCAAATATTGTAAAAATTTGAATTATCACAACTTTCGGGCCGAAATTAGAAGGTCCGGGGTGGTTCAGGATTTTGGAGGAAAATATATATTTTTTTAATAGGTTAGTTTCCCCACAATGAATGTACATACATGTCATTAGGTTGATCCTGACTCCCATATCCCTTTGAAAGGGGCGAAGGGGCAAATATTGTATTCATAAATTTGAATTATCATAACTTTCGTGCCGAAATTGTAAGGGCCGGGGTGGTTCAGCATTTTGGAGGAAAATATATATTTTTTTTAATAGGCTAGTTTCCCCACAATGAATGTACATACATTCCATTAGGTTGATCCTGACTCCCATATCCCTTTGAAAGGGGCGTAGGGGCAAATATTGTGATAATTTGAATAAACACCAATTTCAGGCCGAAATGGTAAGGGCCGGGGTGGTTCAGCATTTTGGAGGAAAATATATTTTTCGTTTAATAGGTTAGTTTCCCCACAATGAATGTCCATACATGCCATTAGATGGATCTTGACCCCCATATCCCTTTGAAAGGGGCGTAGGGGCAAATATTGTGATAATTTGAATAAACACCAATTTCAGGCCGAAATGGTAAGGGCCGGGGTGGTTCAGCATTTTGGAGGAAAATATATATTTTTTTTAATAGGCTAGTTTCCCCACAATGAATGTACATACATGCCATTAGATTGATCCTGACCCCCATATCCCTTTGAAAGGGGCGAAGGAACAAATATTGTAAAAATTTGAATTATCACAATTTTCGTGCCGAAATTAGAAGGGCCGGGGTGGTTCAGCATTTTGGAGGAAAATATATATTTTTTTTAATAGGCTAGTTTCCCCACAATGAATGTACATACATGCCATTAGATGGATCCTGACCCCCATATCCCTTTGAAAGGGGCGTAGGGGCAAATATTGTAAAAATTTGAATTATCACAA